ACACACACACTCACAAACACAAATACATAAACGCGCACATACCCAAACACAGCCAAACATGTAAATAAAATTTCAAAACAAACCGCAAAGTGCTCCTACCGTGAAAATGGAAAAGAGAAAAAAACCATGATCAGTTAGTAGGCTTGAAATGGAAGCATTATTTCTATTTCTGTCACCTCTCTTCTAGTTGCAGGCCTACATGTATGAATCAGTCTTCGACAAGATGCTGCTTGTTCAAACGACATTTCGCTGCCTGGCCCTCCTCCCCCTGCCCCACCCCGCCCCGCCCCCTCCTCTCCCATTTACCTTTAGCCTATCCCTCGCACCACAAAACGCCGCACCGGCAAAACTAAATTCACTAAAACCTCTCGCGGCGAAACTGTCAACGAGCAGTTGTTACTATTCGGTTATTCTGTTTTGTTAGCATGAGTCTGGGTCACCTACATTTTGCCCCTTTCATTGAACTGATATCAGTAGAATAATATTAATAGTAATAATATACAGTACATTCTAAATGTGTACCCTTGAATGCATTGCGCAGTTCAGTCCGACTGCCGACTCGCCTCGCCTGGACCTGGGAGTAGTCATAGCCCAGTCATAGCGAAAAACAGCTCCGATCATCTGCTGCCTAAAGATTATTCAGCCAGTCAGTGTTGGAGAGGCCTGCGCGTGCCGCCAGAGGGGGCTGTGCGCCTACATAGCAGACGGTTATTCTTAGCGATCTTCAGCGAGCTGAAACCTTTGTCATGGCTGTGTCGTTGTGATAGGGAACACATGTATTTAAGATTTTCTACCTTATGACACAAGATCAGGTAAGTTTGTTGTTCTTATATGTTTGAACTGATACGACACGTGAATTTTAATCTTCCTATCAGTTTTTGATAATCCGTAATCGCCTGTGGTAACCTCTCTTTCGCCGATACAACAGCTCAGACTTGCTTTGACCTAAAATGGGATTGTTTTCAGAGTGCCGACTTCAGTACAGACATCAGGACCCGGCGGGGCTGTCTGAGCTAATCACCAGAATATAGCTTCTTCTACCCACAATAAAATTCCTTGCCTCCTTCAAAATGTTTTTGTTTTACCCATAGTTACTCATTTCGAAGGCGTGAATCATCTGTTGGGACGTGAGTTTCCGCTGTTCAGGCTGACATTGATACCCTCCGGTATCACAGTATCAGTATCTGCTCTCAACAGCTGATTGGTGCGGCGAATGAGTTCCCCCAAAATTGTTAGACGTTATATAATCTCGCTTTTAATTTGACTTAAAATAAGTGTGTCTTCTGTCGTAGAGTCTTATACATTCATCATGTCTACATAATCTTTAGTAACTACATCGCACTTCCTCTTAAACACACAGAGACCCCTCTGGAATTTGATGGCCTACTTTGCTTTTTGGGATGTATGTAAATAGGTCGTCGGCCTAGGCCTGGCCCTGGTTTGTTCAGCTGTGGTATGGAAAAGTCGGTGGCTAAAAATAAATTTGCTTTGTTGTTATCATGAAGAAATATTGTGCCTTTTTGCAAGTCCAGACTAGATTTTCATTCAGGATTAGTTAACTATTTGGTTTAATGTCTGCTTGCCCTATGCACTGTGCAATTAAAACTTGTTTTTGAGTCTAGGTCTGAATCTAGAAATCTCTAGATTCTAGATTCTAGATGTTAGCTCCAAACTAGATTCCTAACTGGTTAGGTAAGTAATGATCAAGGAGGCAGAAGGGTGCTATAGTTAGTCATAGAGACTGAAGAGGAATGAAAGTTTAAAGTGGAAAACCTGTTTTTAAAAAATCATTTTTCCTGAGCCGTTACATTGGAGTTGGAGCCTACTCAAAACTTTAGACAGCTTCCATCGTAATCAGGAAACTGACTTCCCATGAGCAACATCGTCAACGTCTAGGCCTATACACTCTTGATCTATACTCTGGAAAATGAAACTGAGCAGTGTGTGATGTTTCGGCAAGGACACATCTACAAAGACCAGTAGTGAATGCTGTGAATTCCAACGTGAGACCAGTTGTTCTGTGGACCACTGCTGTCCTTCAATTTGTGCCATGTCATGTCTGCACAAGTTTTGTTCTCTTCTTTTCTATTTATTTTTATAGATTCTAGCCCTTTCTCTTGTAGATAACTGAGTAGCTTGTCGTGGATTCATGGCAGCCTGTACGATCATCCGGATTTTTAAAAATGAATGATTGGGGGAGGAACAGAAAGAATTGAGTTACCCGTTATTATTAAGGCTAAGGTTTTGTAAGAATAGTCTGGTGTGAGGGTAGAGTTGGTCAAGAGATCAGGTAACCTGATGTGGTTTTCCTCCATCTCTTTGTTCATGTCCTTATATAATATCCTTTCCCTCCTTGATAATAAATATAATGGAACTTACTTAAAGGTTTTAGCTTTGTTAGGCTTTCAACTTCTGTTTTTGTAAATAATGTCTTCATGATTCATGGTGGAAGTCTCACAAAGTGGGACTATAAATAAAAGGTTGAAATTGAAGACTGAGCAAAACAAGTGTTTTTAACTCCGCGACCGCAGAAAACATGTCATCACGGAAGAGTGCTTGACCATTTGTTGTTTCTCAATAAAGAATGCTGTTATGTTTACATTGTAGTAGTACACTGTTTCTCAAAACTACAAAAAAATTATGACCAGGTATGTTGTAGATGTAATGAGGCGCTTCGATCGGTCCAAGTTTACTCTTCTTAATGGTAAATTAGTTTTTGTGGTTTCTCCTGACATTATGTTTCGACCTACAAGACAATGATAAATGACGACAATACATTAAAGTTTTTTTGTCCCCTTGAGGTCTATTATAATCTGCTTCTGCCCTCCTTCCTTCCGTTCCCATTGAATGAAATGTGAGGGTCTTCACCTTTCGAGGTCAAGGAAATTGTGTGAATTAGATAAAAAGAGCTTTTGATCGTAGAAAAATTTGATCATAGAAAAACAAGCTCAGGCAGCCTTTGTAGTTGTAGCCTTCTTTATTGGTCAAGGTTTTCTTACTTTTTGTGAGTTTATTTCCTGCATTTGGAAGTGATACATGATGTGATTGAGTAGCTCCATATCTGTTGGAATGTGGTATCTCGCTCTCAGCGTAGATTGGCTTTTCTTTTACAGGCTGGTTCGACACTGTCACTTCCCACATTATCTAAATTATATCATGTTGATAGGGGTGTAAGTAGAAACAGAGTGTTTAAGGGTTTTATATTCTGATAGACTATAATTAAACGTCCGAGGGTCTCTGATAAGACCGAGCGAAATGGGTTGTGAGCCTTGAAAACTCCACAAAAACTTTAAGAATGCCCAGTCTGGGATTTGAACCAAGGCCATCCACTCCGCAGTCCGGCACGATACCAACTGAACGAACGGGGCACCTGTAGAGGTGTAGTAAGAGATGAACTATCATTACATGATAGGGATGGATTTAGACTTTCTGTTTGTGCTGTCAGCCGTGGCAGGCGTACCTTTTCTGCACTTTTTGTCAAAATTTTGTCTTTCCCACTCTTTCACACAAAAGTGACAACGTTACCCAATTGTTGAAGGCTATTCCTCAGTCCTGGCATCAGTTCTAGAATGTGGAGACTTGTCTTTGTGTGTAGAATTTGGTTGCTGTTGGTGACCCTAGATCTCTTAGTTGTAATTTTAGTTTGTTTTTATTGCATTTGCAACACTATTAAAAGTACAAAGATGGGCCTAAGATGTTATTAAAGAGTAACATAAAAAAGAGGCGAGATGGGGATGATACATGCTGATTGGAAAAGAGGAGCAGGCCACACCAAAGCACCCACCAACCACCCACCCTAGACATCTATATTTTAAATCAAAACATGTGAACTTTTTGTCTTTGTTCCTCTTCATCAGTGTCAGTCGGGAAGGGTGACCCGTGCTGGTATCCCTCTGAATTCATCCCAAATAAACAGAAAAAGCTAGCAGAAAAGTCCATCATCGTCATCTTGTGTACTGAGAATTATCTGGTGCCCTCAGTTCTGTTCTATGGGTGGTTGGCGGGTGCTGTGGTGTGGTTTGTTTCTTCTTTCCTATCAAATATCTATCGTCCTTATCTCCCCTTCTACTTTTATGTTTGTTACTCTCTTGTAACTCCTCTAATCTTCTGGCGCTCATATGACCTTTATGCAGTTGTGAGCACCGTAAAACCTCTACTAAAGCTAAAAAGTTCTGTTCTGTATGGGTAGTCCAGAAAGTAAATTTTTGCAGAGAGAGAAAAATAAACATACTTCGTTTCCTTAAAACACATGTCTACGTTACATATCTTTTCATACTATTTTCAGCATTTAGAATTTGAATTTAGACAAAATAATCCTTGAGCACATGCAAACGATACCACAGATTAAGATCATAGAAGATACATCTTTATTGTCCAGATCCTGGCTCATTGGTATTGTGTTTCTCCTCATAGGCCTACACACTGTGTACACACACACACACGCGCGCGCGCGCACACACACTCACAGACACACACGCAAACATGCACACATAAGTGTACGCATTGAAACCACAGTGGTTGTAGTTGTAGATTCGTGGTTCTCTCCATGTTGTACTTCGTCCAGAAAGCAAATTTTTGCAGAGAGAGGAAAAAAACCCTATTTTGTTTTCTTAAAACCCTTTTCTATGTTACGTATCTTTTCATAATACTATTTTCAGCATTTAGAATTCGAATTTTGACAAAATATTCCTTAAGCAAATTCAACCGATACCACAGATTAAAAAGAGAAGATAAATCTTTATTGTCCAGATCCTGCCTCGTTGGCTTTGTGTTACACCACGTACACACATACACACACACACAAAAACACGCACAACACACACATATATCATGCACACATAGGCATTCGCCTGCGCATTTGAACACCGATATACACTAACACACTCTCTCACACTTCCTTTTTCCGCATACATCTGTGTACAAAGCCATGATAATACAGTAACAATAGTATGCTTGCATTCACAAACCGGCTCACAGTCGCATGTAATATAAATGGACAATGAATATAAATATTAATAAAGTTAGGCTAGTTACGTACTCTGTATTCCGATTGTAACTCAATGGTATTCTGATATTGCATGCTTTTGAGGTCATCGGAATGTTACTTATCAAGATGATTTAGATGAGAAGTTTATGGATGATGGTAAAAATGACCTTCTGTATGTATCTTTTCCTTTTACGGATCAGAAGCCAATCCTTGGTCTTTTGACTTCTGGTTATTTTTATTTGAGGGAACGATGGATGTTTAATATGTACAAAAAGATATAATTAATTTTTCTAGGTCAAGTGATTAAAAAAAAAAAAGTAAAATTTCGGACTTCTGAACAGCTGACCAACAATACAAGCCTATGTTTTTACTGTGGATCTGTGTGGACCACACTTTTGTGTCTGTCTGTCTGCTGGGATACTTTATTCTGCTGCTGTGTCTGGGCTGGCCCTACACGGGACAAGGCTAAAGCAGCTCACCTCCTTAACTATCTTTTGTGGGTTTTTGTTGTTTCTTTTTTTTTAACCCTGCCCATTTCTATCAACTGGCGCTTTTGTGTTTAGTAGAGACAACAACAACTACAAAATGTGCGGCACTTTGGATTTTAAAATTTTACTGTTAGTATTTAATTAGTGTAGACACACGAGAGAAATATGTTATCTATCTATCTATCCCCTATATTTTGTGTTGATGGGAGCATAATGTGTAGTCGAAATTGTCCTAGAAGGCCATCCTTTTTTTCAGGAGAAAAGTGATTGTCTTGGACAGGTGGATGTCTTTGATAGAGTCTATAATGCAGAAAAAAAGGGTTGAAGTGGGAAGTGG